TGTCAATCCTGCCTTGGGACGGCAAGGCCACAATTGGTCTGTCTGTCTTTGTTTCCGTGTCCCGCTGTACAACTTTCCAGAGGGGTCGGTAGTTTATTTGTGTGTGCATGTTTATGTGTGTGTGTGTGTATGCTAGTATGCCCACGCGTACAAGTAATGGGTTTTTGTGCTAACGTTTTCGAATCCTCACGTATATGATTGTATGAATAGCGAAGACATTTGAGATAGACAGAGAAAGAGAGTATGATGCATGCAATCACGTGTGTGTATGTATGTTTCGAGGGAGGAGAAGATGATGAACAACTAGGCCACGAGATGGATGACGGCGACGTCGATGGTGAGTTGGTGACTCGGACGGAGAAGTGAACTCGAGTCGGGGCGAGACCGACGCGCGCTCGAATCACAAGGCTGGCGTGAATACGTGTACAGATATGCGTGTGTGTGTGTGTGTGTGTATGTGTATGTGTGTGTGTGTGTGAGGAAGAGATTAGAGCATGTCGATCCGTCTTGGCCAACTGTCGATTGGATGTACCGGAGCAGAGTCAGAGGAGGCGTCAAGTCTGGAGGAGGTGTAGAGCAACGCGAAAAGGCTGGTCATGGCCGGGACTCGGTCCAACAAGGCCAGACGTATGTGCAAATGAATGTTTGTATGCTTGTTTGACTTAATGCCGGCGCATATTTCCCCTCGGGGACAGTGTGAACCGGAAGGCTCCAGTACAGCTAAAGAAGAGCTGGCGGTAGCCTTTTGGCGTGATCAGCCAGTTCGAGTCCCTTCCTCATGAACAAACAAACACACACACACACATACACACACACACACGCATTTGGATTATCAGTAACAATGGGAATGAGTGCTGGAAACACAACATCTCTTCGCATCTGCAAACATGTAACATGCATTCGACTGCAAAATGAGCGGATTTCGGATTTCGCGACTAGCACAAGAACCTGAAACCGATCTGGAATGAGTTAAGACCCAACACGAACTGACGGGATACATTTTGATTCGAGTAAAAGAGAATGGATTCGAGTTGGGCTGACTAAAATTGAATCGTCTCAACTGGATTAGAAAAAAACTCGAATCAGTGTGACCTGATTAAATTTAATTAAAATGAAATATACTCGATTGGACTTGACTTAATTGAATTTGTAATGAGATTTGCTTGTAATTAAATAACTCCGAATAGATTCGACTAAGTTTAACTAGAAATGACTTGAATCACTTTGATTGGATAAACAGAATTTCGTCAATATTCGACCAGAGTCAACTGGAATTGTCTACATTTAGCTTAACTTGACACGAAGGAATGTGATTGTTATCACATAATATACATTAGACTCGACAAAACTTAACTCGAATTGTCTTGAATTAATTTGAATAGATTGAAATATTGTTGGATAGATTTCAATTGACTCTGATGTAATCGAGTAAATTTAACTCGAATGACTTGATTGTATTGAAATACTTGTGACTAGAATCGACTTTGCTCAAATGGATTAGAATGAATTTAACTTGAATTGACATGATTGCATTTGATTGTTTGAAATTACTAGCTTTAATTCGACTCAAATCAACGGGTATCTACTAAACTTATCTGGAATTGACTTGATTTAATTTGATTCTATCTAGTTTGTCTTGACTAAATTTGACTTGACTCAGCTGGATTCGAGTACATTTAACTCGTGTTGCTTAGATAGAATTAAAATGAATTGAAATACTCTCGACTAACTTCCATTTTCATTTAAGTGGATTAGAATAAATTTTACTCGATTGTAATTGAGTTAATTAAATTTTAAAGATATGATATGATATGATATGATTCGACATGTCTCAACTTTATTCGAATAAATTTATCTCTACTTGACTTGATTGAATTTTATTTTATTTAAATGGTCTCGACTAAATTCCCCTAAAATCAAATGGATTCGACAACATTTAAACAGACTGACTTGACAGAATTTGTTTGTATATAATTACTCTCGACTATATTCCACTAGACTACACATAATTCGAATAAGTTTTAATCGACTTGACTTGAATGAACATGTTTATTTTCAAATACTTTGCTTAGATTCCACTTGATTAATTCTAAATTTAATCAAATATTATCGAGTAAATTCGAATTTTATCAACTGGATTTACAAAATTTGGCTAAATTTGACTTTATGAAAGTTGATAGTATTGAAATATTCTCGAATAAATTGGACGTGACATGAGCTGATTCGTGTACATTTAAGTCGAATTGACTTGATTGCATTTGATTGGATTGAAATAC